AGTCATCTGACTCAAGAACACTTAAAGCTCCTTATGCCTACAATCACCGACACAAAGTCTTATATATTTTATAGATGAATACACTCACAGTTATTAACTAGCATCTATGATTGAGGGTGAATTGGGATTAGGAAAAAGGATAAATAAAAAAAGGTATAAATGGCTAAAGATGCGATAAGAAATATATGGATAAAGGTAAGAAAGTAAGAAAAAATACACAAAATAAGTAGAGGTTGCAAAGAAAAAAACAAGGCCAGCTAATATGACTATTTCCCCTAAAGTTACACACCGGTTACGGGGAAACAATATAATTGAAATCTATAAAAGTATTTCATAAATAAACCTTTTGTACTTCAGTTCCCTGAACTCAAAAGCTTCTTCAAATAGTAGTAACTTAATAATAACCTTACTTTTAAAAATCCTTCCCTTTATAAAAAGTAATATCATAGCAAAAATAGCCTCATACATACATACATATGCATATATACACATACATACATATATATACATATACATATCCATATCTACATATATATACATATACATATACATACACATATAAAAGGAGACATACATACATACAGACATACAAAAGGAGAGTGTCACATACATACATACATATATATACATACATATCATACATTCATACATACATATATATATACATATACATATACATATACATATACATATACATATACATATACATATAGATTTACAGATAGATTTAGATTTAGATTTAGATTTAGATTTAGATTTAGATTTAGATTTAGATTTAGATTTAGATTTAGATTTAGATTTAGATTTAGATTTAGATTTAGATTTAGATTTAGAGAGAGAGAGAGAGAGAGAGAGAATTATATATATATAAATGATATATGTTTCTTTCTCTCTTTCTCTTTCCTTCTTTCTTTCTTTCTTTCTTTCTCATTTTCATTCCCATTCTCTCTCTGTCTATCTATCTATCTGTCTGTCTGTCTGTCTGTCTGTCTGTCTGTCTGTCTGTCTGTCTGTCTGTCTGTCTGTCTGTCTGTCTGTCTGTCTGTCTGTCTGTCTCTGTCTGTCTCTCTCTCTCTTTCTCTCTCTCTCACATACACACTCTCACACTCTATCACTCTCTCACTCTCACTCTCTCTCATTCTCTCATTCTCTCACACTTACTCATACTCATACTCATACTCACACTTACTATATAGCTGAAAATTTCCCTTCACTTCAAACACTATAGCATTATCTAAGCAATGTTTTATGATGAAATATTAGAAACAAAATACTTCCATACTTACAGACTATAATATATGTATTGTTTTCTATTGTTTCACAAATACAATTTTCATTGGTAAAAGTCTTACCTATATTTAGTTCTTTACGTAAAAACTCATTAACTGCAGCTGGTTCATTGCCACTATCTTTTTCTTTCTCAACATTTAACTTAAAGGACTTATTAAACCATCTTTCACATTTCATATAAACCTGCCAGTCAGCAAACTTTCAATTGCACACTACAAAGTCCCTGCATACTTTATGAGCATCCTTAATGGATTCCTGCTTACAGATACTTGGTGAAGTTGTAAAATTAACGTACAAGGAATTTGAAGAGGGCATTACTTAATCCGACAGAACTGTAAAGAATTAGCTAAAGAAATCTGCATTGTGTAAGGAACAGGACAATCTTCACTGTCCTTCTAAAATTACAGATGAGCTGGCAAAGTCGTGAATCAAATAAACCAGTTACAATTAATGAGGTCAGTCTTGCATAATGCAGTGTAAAGAAAATAGTACACTGAATTCTACATTAATATCATCTCATAAATAGCCATACAGTATCTTTTCCAGTTAATATGAAACCTACAAGTTAAATTATGTAAATGACCAACAGATATAATACTAAGTTGGGAAAAAACATATTACTCAAAATCTATATACTTGAAGAAAGGCTTTTGGAACACTTTCCCAAACTAACTGTTTCACACAAGACTTTTACTGTCAAGGTAGATGGTTAAAATATACTAGTTTTTAAACATTTCCCTAATAGCAGCAGTTCACTCACTGCTGATAAATGAACACTTACATTCTGTAATTGCAAATATCACAGATTCAACTCATAAAAAAAGAAAATATATCTGTTCATTAATCACCGGATACAAAGTAATACTAACTGGTATCACCTCATTAGCAAGAGTAATCTCATTCTCTCATTCTCTCATTCTCTCATTCTCTCATTCTCTCATTCTCTCATTCTCTCATTCTCTCATTCTCTCATTCTCTCATTCTCTCATTCTCTCATTCTCTCATTCTCTCATTCTCTCATTCTCTCATTCTCTCATTCTCTCATTCTCTCATTCTCTCATTCTCTCATTCTCTCATTCTCTCATTCTCTCATTCTCTCATTCTCTCATTCTCTCATTCTCTCATTCTCTCATTCTCTCATTCTCTCATTCTCTCATTCTCTCATTCTCTCATTCTCTCATTCTCTCATTCTCTCATTCTCTCATTCTCTCATTCTCTCATTCTCTCATTCTCTCATTCTCTCATTCTCTCATTCTCTCATTCTCTCATTCTCTCATTCTCTCATTCTCTCATTCTCTCATTCTCTCATTCTCTCATTCTCTCATTCTCTCATTCTCTCATTCTCTCATTCTCTCATTCTCTCATTCTCTCATTCTCTCATTCTCTCATTCTCTCATTCTCTCATTCTCTCATTCTCTCATTCTCTCATTCTCTCATTCTCTCATTCTCTCATTCTCTCATTCTCTCATTCTCTCATTCTCTCATTCTCTCATTCTCTCATTCTCTCATTCTCTCATTCTCTCATTCTCTCATTCTCTCATTCTCTCATTCTCTCATTCTCTCATTCTCTCATTCTCTCATTCTCTCATTCTCTCATTCTCTCATTCTCTCATTCTCTCATTCTCTCATTCTCTCATTCTCTCATTCTCTCATTCTCTCATTCTCTCATTCTCTCATTCTCTCATTCTCTCATTCTCTCATTCTCTCATTCTCTCATTCTCTCATTCTCTCATTCTCTCATTCTCTCATTCTCTCATTCTCTCATTCTCTCATTCTCTCATTCTCTCATTCTCTCATTCTCTCATTCTCTCATTCTCTCATTCTCTCATTCTCTCATTCTCTCATTCTCTCATTCTCTCATTCTCTCATTCTCTCATTCTCTCATTCTCTCATTCTCTCATTCTCTCATTCTCTCATTCTCTCATTCTCTCATTCTCTCATTCTCTCATTCTCTCATTCTCTCATTCTCTCATTCTCTCATTCTCTCATTCTCTCATTCTCTCATTCTCTCATTCTCTCATTCTCTCATTCTCTCATTCTCTCATTCTCTCATTCTCTCATTCTCTCATTCTCTCATTCTCTCATTCTCTCATTCTCTCATTCTCTCATTCTCTCATTCTCTCATTCTCTCATTCTCTCATTCTCTCATTCTCTCATTCTCTCATTCTCTCATTCTCTCATTCTCTCATTCTCTCATTCTCTCATTCTCTCATTCTCTCATTCTCTCATTCTCTCATTCTCTCATTCTCTCATTCTCTCATTCTCTCATTCTCTCATTCTCTCATTCTCTCATTCTCTCATTCTCTCATTCTCTCATTCTCTCATTCTCTCATTCTCTCATTCTCTCATTCTCTCATTCTCTCATTCTCTCATTCTCTCATTCTCTCATTCTCTCATTCTCTCATTCTCTCATTCTCTCATTCTCTCATTCTCTCATTCTCTCATTCTCTCATTCTCTCATTCTCTCATTCTCTCATTCTCTCATTCTCTCATTCTCTCATTCTCTCATTCTCTCATTCTCTCATTCTCTCATTCTCTCATTCTCTCATTCTCTCATTCTCTCATTCTCTCATTCTCTCATTCTCTCATTCTCTCATTCTCTCATTCTCTCATTCTCTCATTCTCTCATTCTCTCATTCTCTCATTCTCTCATTCTCTCATTCTCTCATTCTCTCATTCTCTCATTCTCTCATTCTCTCATTCTCTCATTCTCTCATTCTCTCATTCTCTCATTCTCTCATTCTCTCATTCTCTCATTCTCTCATTCTCTCATTCTCTCATTCTCTCATTCTCTCATTCTCTCATTCTCTCATTCTCTCATTCTCTCATTCTCTCATTCTCTCATTCTCTCATTCTCTCATTCTCTCATTCTCTCATTCTCTCATTCTCTCATTCCTAACTGGTATCACCTCATTAGCAAGAGTAAGTTCATTTTCAGATCATTTTCAATGGTCCTTAACCCTTAATTATCAGATGCTTCATCGGAACACCAAGCAATTCCCCTCAGTAACAATATCCACATATAAAGGAGATTATCTTTAACACTTTCTTAATCTGAACAAGAAAGCATGGAGTGACGTACACATTAAAGAAGTCTACTGAATGTATTATTAATCAAATGCTGTATTCAGAAATAATCCTAACTCAAAATGGAGTTTGAAATCTAGTGGGGAAGTCTGATATTTCTGGATGGTGGGCAAGTTCAAAAGTTATCAACACAAGATCTTAAACTTACTTGAAAAAAATCTGACTTTTGTAAATTTATCATCAACTTATGCTCCATTGTGAAATATCTATGGACATCACCCTTCTTCACAGGAATTGTTAATTATTTTGCATAATAATAAATCACTATGACCGAACTTACCCAATTTATTCCTCAGTATTTTACTAAAGCTTCCTCATAACTTCCATGAACACTTTATACCACAGAGAACACTGCACTGCTGTTTTAAGCTATGTCATTTAAGGGTTAAAAAGGTAGTGGTGCATACTTGCATTACTCTATCAGTTAGGACCTATGCAGAAATTAGATATTGTTCTTCTGTTAGTCTTTTTTTGTCTACACAAACTGTACTAAGGACAAATGTATATAGCATAGACAACCATTTCCTATATATCAGTTATTTCCCTAATTATAATAACATTCACATGTATCAGTATCTGAAATAGATTGCACGTTTAGTCAATAAAATAGCCGTATTTTCTTCTCTCTCTCATATTTGTGTGGTTTTTGATATGGTGTAGTTGTAACTTGGTATTAGATGCTTCAATTCAACAAAATGAAGTACAACCCAAAGGACAGTTATCCACAAAAATATTCCTATCTTTGGATGATGAGATTACCAATTTTCTGTGAGAAAATAAACTGTACATCTTATTATGCTATTTCAAACTCTGCAAAATGCATAAGTACAGCTTTACAATAAATTAATACAAAACAAGGAAAGTATGAGAAGGTCTCACTCATCTTACATCTTAACTGTAGTATTAAAGTCTAACTTTTATCATTTTCTTTCCCTTGCGTATCTTCAGTCAACCCAAGCAGCTCTCGGATGCGATAAATAGCCCTCTTGCATCCAACATGCGCCTCCTGAGATACCATGGAGAGGCTGAGGAAACCATGAGGAAGGCGCTCCAAAATGTCAATGGTGACTGGGACATTGAGGGATTTCAGTGTCTTGGCCATGGTAACATCATCATCCAGACAGAAGTCATATTCAACAGTCTGGAATATTTTGAAAGGGAGGTTGTCAAATATTCTTTTCATTAGTTATATCACACCATTATCAGGTATCAAAATTATCTAAGCAGAGATAGCTTATTACTAGCAATCTAAGCAAAGGGTCTAAAAATTATCTAGTATGCTACTTACTAAAATTGCACAAGGTGGGAATTTTGCAAGTATTTCCTTGGGAGCTGTCAGTGGACTCAAGTAGTGGTCATGGATAATTTCTACTCCACTAAATTCCTCAGTGAGACTGCACCGACTGCTTCTGCGTTCAGGACTTTTGCCCATCAAGATCTGACCAAGAGATGGTCTGAAATGCAAGAAAAATACACTGCTGTTACCTGTAATTGGCAACATTTCACTGTCACGAAATATAATGACCTTACTTAATTAATCCAAAAATAATTTAATCAAAATACAAACCAACAGTAAATAAATGATGATAATTTCCTATTGTTTTTCATTTAGCATAATCTGTTATATCCATATAATAACACTAAGTTTAGACATGAGATAAAAGAGGAAAGGGCTTAAGAAAATGAAAATTAATCAATATCTATTCCCATTAATATACATATTCAGAAACTTCTCAAGAAAAACTTTCCCTCACTCAGAATCACTTTGACAATATTTTTTATTTGCTATTATATTTTTTGATGAGTATATAGCACTGATGACTTAATCCGTTTCAGACGGTCACGTATACCAGCATTATAACAAACCACTTGGTCTGTATGTGCGGTGATGCACCAGAGCACATAGAGCGGGACGTTCCGCTTGATGTAGCGGACTCCCACACCCAGTGTCTAGCTGTTCCCAGAAATCACTAGAGTTTATCATGCTCAGGGATTTCTGTTACCAGTGGTGATGGGTTAAGTATCAAGGGCAGCCCAATGTAACTGAAAGGGGTGCACCACAAGTTTGGAAATTCCTTTTACTGAAAATCCTGAGTTACTGTAGTTATTCATAAATTAATTTAGTAAAGTGCATTCATTCAATTAAAGTTGTTTTCCATAATTCATTCATATTGTGCTAACAATGCAATTTCAAGTATGCATCAGAGATAAAATTCAAGAAATAAGAAGCAATGGATATTCCAAAAGATTCCTGTTCACTTTTGTTTAAAAATTTAGAGTAGTTCCTGTTAATATGTCAGCATCCCACTCCTAATTTCTGGTGTGCATAAGCACTACAATAAGGAATTATATACTGTGTCAGAACAGAAGTCTCAGATGTTAAATTTGCTGAAAATTGATCAATAACATCTAATCTTTTAGATATAGACCCTAGACTTAAGGTTAGCATCCTTATTGCTTTAATCCTGGAAAAATTATGAAATAAAATGATACACTAAATAGAAAACTCTGAAAATAATTATTGATGCATTGCATTTGAATGTACTATACATTACTGGAGTTGCTCAATATCCTGAGCACAGGATATGGGGGAGGAGAGAGAGACAACCCTTGTTTTCTGGAGTCAGAGTGGAAATTACTTTTTTATGTTTAAAGGTTTTATTCTATATTATCTAAACCAATTTTATATCTCATGCAATGAAGAAAGATGCAACATGAATATTTTTGACATGACAAATCTCTACATGCTCAAACAAATATATGAAATTTTCATACTATTTGTATTGTAAGATTCTAAAAAAAATATGTCCTGAATAAAACATGAATTAATGCCAATTTCAATAACCTGTACTCTTGTTTTAAAACTAAGATGCAGTATATGTATTAACTCAGTAAATCTTCAAAAGGGATGATGATAAAAAAAAAAAAAACTAAACATTCCTCCCCATATAAATGAACCGAAGCATAAGAATTCATGCTTACCGTTTTTCAGCAACAGATTTAGGGAATGGTTGAGTTGGCGATGAAGGAGACGAGGCACTTTCTTTTCTTTTGAGCCCAAAGGATGTGAGACCAGCAGATATACCACTAACTACAGCATCTTTAGCTCTTCCTAGCTTGGCTGTAATTCCTGCACCTACACCAGGGGCCTCAAATAGGACAGTTTCATCATCCTGTTCACTCTCTTCACTTCCTGTGCGAAGGATGGGGACTCTTCGACCCTGTCAGAATTAGGAATTTAAAAACTTTCACAGGAGTCTAGAGGAAGCCCCAGTTATTGAACAGTAATGCATTCCCCAGGAATAATCAATGAAATGTCAAATATTGAGAATATTTCTCTTAACTCAACAATAATTCAGTAAAACTGGAATCAATACCATTGTTTATCACTATGCATTTCATCCATTAAAGGAACATTACACAAAGTAATTGACTTTTTTTTGTAAAATTAATTCCTGATTAAACATTTCTAATCAAGATGGTTTTATACATGCAATTTGCTGACACCAGTAAGAATGTTGGTAATTGGATATAAGATGATAAATTCAGAGGTCATCCATTTTAAACCATTTCCATCAAATCATCTATGAATATATAATGGGTACAACAGATACCAGATCTTACTTGCTTATCTGTACGTGAGTCCAAAACATATTTTTCTAAAAATTCTGTTACATATCTTCTGGATCTCTCTTCCTTCTCCTGCGGTTTCTGACTTCCATTGCCATTACTCTTCCTTGTTAAGGAATCGTCCATTTTGGAGGCCTCGGATGTGAGTGAGACAGTCGTGAGGGTGTCTGATCCTGGCTCAGAAGCAAATGAAGGGCTCTTGACTAAGGATTCAGCTTCTTTGACATCACTCTCTGAAACCTCTACAAATGACTCGTTGTCACTCTGGGTGTCAGAGACTCTTCCCTGGGGTACCTCTAGTGCTGCATCTAGTGTTGCTGGTGCCATTTCAGGGTTTCCCTCACAATGCTCTGGTGTAGTGGGGAGCTTTGGGGTATGCAGGGGTGGTGTTGATATGGTAGCATCACCTGGAGTGGTTGCTAATGATGTTCCCCCACTTGGCACACCAGCATAAGCTGAAACATATTCCTTAGATAACAGATATTCTTTATCAAAATGGAACAGGATGTTTAGTAGATTAGTTTTAACCCCTACAATCCAGATGACATGACCATCATGACATGGAAAAATTTGGCTTGAGGGATGGGTGACATGAACATGCTATCACAAGAAAATTTGGCAGAGGGCCAGGGTGACAGGAACTTGTCATCATGAGAATTTCGACTAAATGCCAGGATGATGGGAACGACTTGTCATGAATGCACAAAGCTCTTGGAGGGTGATTAGACATTTTGGACATTCAGGATGGGGCTTTTGCATTATTTCCATCAACAAATGAGTATGGAATGTAATGCCCATGAGCCCCAGCTCCAGGGAGGACACTATTTCCATGCTCAAGATAATATTCCTGACAAATAGACATTGAAAAATGGCAAAAATGCTAAAAATACCTATGCAGAAATAGAGAAAATAACACTGCAAGGAGAGGCATGGAGATTTACCACCGCACACAAGTGTTCGTATGCGCACACTGTTACTGTTACCCCCATGACCGCTACCATGTCACACCTACCATTACACTACCACTACTTTTAACTCATTATATCCAAATGATTTACTGACTGCACTTGGCATTAGGCTTACCCGAGTGGCTACTCTGACAGGTGCGTGAGTTTTACGCAAGGAGCATACAAACATTTGAGTGCGGTGGTAAATCTCCATGCCTCCCCTTGCAGTGTTATTTTCTCTATTTCTGCATAAGTATTTTTAGCATTTTTGCCATTTTTCAATGTCAATTTGTCAGGAATATTATCTTGAGCATGGAAATAGTGTCCTCCCTGGAGCTGGGGCTCATGGGCATTACATTCCATACTCATTTGTAGTGGTACTGGCAGTAGCAGTGGTAATAGTACTGATGGTGGTAGCATTGATAACATTGGTAGTGTGATGGTGGCCATGGCACAAAGGTGGAAGTGGTTGATATTAGTGGTTATTGATAGTAGTGGTTGTTGATAGTAGTGGCTGTTGATAGTAGTGGTGGTTGATAGCAGTGGTGGTTGATAGTAGTGGTTGTTGATAGTAGTGGTTGTTGATAGTATTTGTGGTTGATAGTATTGGTGGTTGATAGTAATAGTGATTGATAGAAGTAGTGATTTATAGTAGTATTGATTGATAGTAATAGTAGTAGTAGGGATAGTGAAAGTGGTGGCAGTAGCAATGCAATAGAAGAAGTGTAATGGTGGTAATGGTGGTGATGGTGGATGTGGTGGAGGTGTATTGGTATAGTAAGATGATGGTGATGAATATGAATGTGAATAAGAATAGGAATATAATTATCATCATCATCAGTTAAATATTTTTACCAAATAATGTTTATTTCTTTATGGTCACCATTAGAATTTTTCTTTATTTATAAGTGATTGCTTTCTGAACATAGGTTATACTCCAGAACAATAATTGAAATGTAATTGTTATTGTTACTGCAATCATCATCCTTATCCACATCATCATCATCATCACCACCATAACAAAAATAATAAAAACAATGAAGGATATGGTGAAAACAATTAAAAAGTTCAAACAATTATTCATTTACGGACAGTGTTACTACCTTTTAGACACCGAAGAGCAAATCCTAGAGGCAGCATAGGGTCCATGACGGCAAGTAGCCTAGCAGGCGATGGGACCAACTCAAATACAAAGGGAGTGTAGGCGAGGAAGAGACCATCGGGTGGCCGAATACCCAGCTCCAGACACTTGATGGTGAGGCCAGTTATGAGGTTGCCTCCTGCACTATCCCCTGTGGATATTGTAAAGTACCTTGGTTTAAATTTTCTTGATGCTTAATATTCACAGGATATAATTTGCTACACTGACCTAAATTCTATGCATCCAATATTGATGAAACAACTCAAGTAGAATATCTAAAAGACAAAGTCACCTGGATTCACATTTCCCAGAAAAAAAATAATGATTCTGAGGACTATTTCTAATACATGCAAACAACGTCAGTAGGTAACTTACAAATCATAGTGATTAGTTGTTAATGGACATCAACATAAAGAGTTGAATATGGTACCAGGTATACCCATTTTGTGCAAACCCACACCATACATACATGATAGAGCTATACATATCTGTAACCTCATGTTAGCATCACTTGTTAGAAAAATCAACCTCTATTCTAAGTCATAACTTACCAACAAAACTAAGATCTCACTCCAGTATTTTAGGCTTTCTATACTACTCTGTTCTTTTGCAATTCTTTGGCTAAGTATTTTATGCTGAGGTATCATCATGTAAAAGAAAATGTTGAATGTAGGAAAGATATGTAATATTGAGTATGTTTAAACATATTTCACATATGTTACATTCACAATCTCATTGTGTCATTGTGTCACAAAATATCACAAATGAATGTTGAATCTTCTAAACTATTTTCATAAACTCACCTGTTAGAACAATCTTCTTGCCCGTGGTTCCAAGGAGTTCCATGTTATTGAGAACCCAAGAGTAAACAGTTAACACCTCCTCCAAAGGACGAGGATAGCGAGCTTCTGGGGCTAGGGAGTAATCAACAGAAAGCATTGGAACACAAACTCCAACTGCCCACTCACGTAAGAATACCTGCAAGGACAAAGAGTTTTATGCTTGCATGGCCTAGATTATTTTTTCCTCAAATGTTTAGCAACATTATCAAAACCACAGGAATTTTTAAAAATCTAAAATGTGAGCTCTACTCAAGGAGAAAAGAAAGAGGAAGACATAAAGAATGATAGATAGAAACATGATCTGTTTCCCTACTGATCTTAATATGTAATACTGTTATTACTGTAATTATTATACCTTTTAACTATCCATATTTATGCTGATTTCTAGATACATACGTCTCTTGACTTTAATACTGTTATACAGTAATTCTATTCATTCATCTTATTTACATATAAAACACACTTGTTTATTATCCCTGGCATATCGATTTGCCAGCATATCTAATTTTCCTTCTCAGAATCAACCAAAAGTGCCAATATTCCTGACACATTAAAGCAGGTTTCCTTTGGACATCTTGGAGAAATACCTCATTCCTCAATCATGTACAAGGGTCATTCCATACCAAATCATCAGAAATTTTAGAAAATTTTAACCCTACCCCTCAGAATAGCCTCAAATTTGGTTTACTGATAAAGATCTATGAGTTAGAGAAGAATGTCAAAAAATTTTGAGAAATTCCATCTAGTTTGGGTTTTATGGACCATTTCATTTTTTGAAAATACCCCCCAAAAAGCTTAGGGTTAGCGATGACATCTTTGACGCACAAGTTAAAGTTATTTTAAACCTCACTGGAAAGAGATACATGGAGGAAAACAAGCACTAAAGTATTTTCAGGCATGTAGAATTCAAAAATAACACTTAGAAAGTCATATCTAGCACCAGGACAATGCCACCTTACAATAAACTGATGTAGGTTTCTGGCAAAATATTTTGGTGGTGGTCAAAAATTGATTTTTTCCCCAAGAGGCATACCTTTTACAAACTTTTTTATTATGTTTCCAAAATCTACATAGAACAATCATGTAGTAGACCAAAAGGTAGCTTGGGGTCTTAACTCCTTCCTACTCAAATTGGGTTGGAAAATCTGACCATTTTTCGAATTCGCAACCTTCTGTGTAATGGTTTCTATAACACTACCCATCCTTGCAGAGTACATGTATCATTGGAATTTAGCTTGAAATCACAAATATTGGCTTTTATCATATTATATAGCAAATTTCTTCAAAGTTTTATTAATTGTTTGAAAAATTATGTTTGGTAAAAAACGTCACTGAGCATGCTCCAGTAGATTATTCCCACAAGTGGTGCAAAGGATGCTTTGGTATATACTAGCAATCAAATGAAAATCAGTTGTCTGTTTGGACCTGAAGTTATCACAAAACTTCTAGAAGACATCAACAATAAGGTAAGCAACTCATTTCCCTTTTGTCTTTGATAATGGAGGATTAATGCTCAAGTGTCTTTAAGACTCTCCTAACGGAAACATAGAGTCTTTTTAAGAGATACCTGTAACTCCTTGTGTATGGCTGTACTGCAGTGCTATGTGCTTAATTGCCTATAAAAATAATTTTAGTCTTTTCCAATAAATCCAAATGGATCAACTCTTACTAAGATTAATCATCAAATTTCATTATTTGAAATTGAATTTGTGTCGTCTTCATAACAGATCTGGAATATTTTCAGAAAGTGTCCGCAGTTATTATGGAAAAGATGCAACAATGTTCTGTTGGCCTTGAAAGAGATGATGAATGCCACAAGAAATCTTTTACTTCACGTGTTGGTTTGATGAAAAATTCTTCTCAAAATTTTTTGACATTCTTCTCTAGCTCATAGATCTTTATCAGTAAACCAAATTTGAGGCTATTCTGAGGGGTGGGGTTAAATGGTGATGATGATTTGGTATGGAATGACCCACAATCTACATAAAAAAAATAATAATAATTTATGTTGTTTTTATCATCTTTAGTCCACCATACAATGCATGTACTTGTCGACTCACCTCCAGATCATTACAGTCAGGAAGGGATGAATATATAAATAGACAGATATAGGGGATGTGGAGCAAGAGGAAGACAAGCAGGTGGAATAGAGAAGACAAAGACGGTGTAAAAGGGAAGAAGGACACAAACACAGGGACAAAGAAAACCAGAACAAACCTCCTGCGCTTTAGTAGACTGCGTCACAAAGCCCCCACCATGACAATGAATGAGGAGGTACTCAGACTTTGGCAATGGTTGCGGACCTTTGCTTTCCTTTTCGCCTGGCTGAGAATAATAAAAGTAAATTAGATAGGAGTTGAAAATTAGTTTGAAATATACTACAACAATAGAAAAAATATCAATTACTTTTATATACAGAATATTTTCAGCCTAATATTTGTATTAGAACAAACCCAGCACTTAATGACTAAACCATTAGGGAATCAACTCTCATCCCAATTACAGAAAAACAATTTAAACAATAAGCGTTTAAATTGCATAATTTATCTATATTTCACTTATACATTTCAAAGTCATACATCTATATGAATGAATAATCATGAGGAAATCTGCAATGCCTCTAGCTACCTTTAACCCCTACACTCCAGATGATGTGACCATGAAATTTGACTTGAAAGGAGGATGACAGGAACATGCTGTCGTGGGGAAATTTGACTGTGGGCTGTTGTGAGCATTTAGGCTGAAGGCCAAGATGATGTGAAAGACTCAGCATGAGTGCACAAAGCTCTTGGAGGGCATTTAGGAAGGGGCTTTTGCATTAGTTCCATTGATAAATTAGTGTGGAATGTACTGTCTGTGAGCCATGACTGGAAGAACACTGGCTCCAGGAAGGACACTATTTCCATGCCCAATTTTCAATACAAAGCTTCAATACAGTAAGTGATCAAAACAATAAGACAAATAATTTTCTTCACTCCTGACGAAGGACAACAAAATCATCATCTTGAAGGGCTAAGGGCTGCTGCTCAAGGAGAGGGAAGGAGTAAACAACCTAAAAAGGTGGCCAAGGTGTATTGCACACAATAATGACTTTAATAACTACTAGGGGATTGCTCAAACTTTCAGGCAAACTGATAAATGAAGCTTCCACTCAAAAGGTTATGTAGCTAATGGCATGAGAAATGCTTCAAAATTCAATTCATAAAAGAATTAAATTAATGCATACAGCATCAAATATCACCAGCACACAGTCAGCTTTGTATTTTTCACACCCAGAGTCATTAAGCCATTGAAACACTGTGGGCTTAACCCAAGCCATAAGCCTTTAGATATTTACTTAAAAAATAGACTTTTCAAGTTACTTCAGAGTAAACTGAGTATCAGATGTGAGTTCTATAAAGTGCATAGGTTAACTTTCACAACATGAATATGAGACCTGGTCATACACAATTGTGGGTTCAGCCCCAATGCCAAACCTTAACAATGTCACTACTCACACCCTATCATAATACTCAGATTTCATTGATAACCTAATTTTTAAAAATGTGGTCAGAAAAATCTAAAAAAAAACAAAATACAAATCTATCCAAATCATATCAACTTACTTATCAAAATGTTGAATTGCCACTCAAAACAGCAATATATACAAAGTGCTTAAAACACCTCAAAAGCAAAGTAGCTCTACCAACCTGGATTTGCACACTTAAAAGCTTCCAAGGGTCCATGCTCAAGCAGTACTTCCATGCCTATCTACATGACTATCTATCCCTACCTTGGCGCCTACCATTCCTTCACGCAACTGAGCCGAGAGCAGGTGACAGGTGATGGGCCTGGGCTCGATATGCGAATGGGGGGGAGGGATAACAACTGTTGCTGTCCCATCCAACTTTGTGACTTGCTGCTCTTCACATGGCACAATCACTACTTGTTGGACTGCCAAGCCAGGTCCCACAATACCAGGCAACTGAGTCAGTATGTCTGGTGAATAATTATAGATTATTATCTTTTTCTTTTACATAAAGATTTGTTCAAATAATTCCCAAAGGACAAAGTTCTACAAAGTTAATATATCCTCTTTATATTCACTTGGATGTCCCTGAATCAGATGAACATATAGCCATGTATTTTTCTTTTGTACTTTACACAACATTTTATGATTTTTTTTTAAGTATGGAAATTACAGAAGATGCCCTGAAAATATTTCTTTATATGTAATGCAGTGTGGAAAATAAACTATGCCTTGATATCCATTGGTGTGGAAAATAATCATAAATACAATTCTCTCGCCAATACTACTTACCAGTCTCAGCAACAGACCAAAAAGCTTTAATGAAATCAACAGAAGCATACTGAACTGTGTCCACAATTCTTCGAGATCTCAGTTCAGCATCCACAACATATCTTCCTCCTAAAAACATTAAATAGCATCAGAACATTTCCCTCAAAAATGGTACAGTACTTGAAAAAAAGAAAAGAAAAATGGCAATAATGATTCAACACTTTTTTCATTGGCTGCACAAAACAGCAAGGAAAAGGTCCTCAAGCTGCAATCTGGATCAATCAATAAAAAAATGATAACAATTTTCAATATATAAAGATCTGCATTTCTGATTTGAATCTAAAAAGATAACAGGGCTAATTACCAATTTCCAAATTTGGTAAATCTTTTTCTTCCTAAAGTATTGAAGGAACACAATTGAATATAACATTTAATTCTTTGTGCTGGGATGACATACATGCCTTGGCAAATCTGAGCCTAAAATATGGATGGCATATATAAAAATATACATACAATGGTGGCCTGGGCCTTAATAATGGATGGTATCACATATATGCCATGTAATGATACTTGTCAGAAACTCACAAAATCCTTCAAGATTCTTTGTTATTTTTTAACAATGATATTTTTCTCTTGTTTCACACTCTTTATCTCTTTTTTCTTGTTCTTTTTTTTCTTCCTTTTCCTCTCTTTACAAATTATTATTTTTCAAAAAGAATCATATTTGACTCATCTGTAACTCTATCTCTTTACCTCAAGGATTTTTGGGTTTTCCTCTTTGCATCTAAGGATGTTTTGAAGATGGTGCAATGTCAGAAGATTATGGCATAGGTAAAGTCTTGAAAATGGCAGGTTTGAGAACATGTAAAATTGACAACAGGTTTAATTTTTCATTACCCCCATGACACTGCTTCTTCTGTTCATGTTCAAAAACATACTATAATCAGTTCAAATGAAGTATACAGTGTAATTTCTAAAAATTATTGCAGAGAAAACAAAAATAAGCACCTGTGAAGGTCTGAAAACTCAGAAACATGTATAATTGTGCAAACATAATAGATCACATAAAAGACACAAGCAGTGAAATTCAAGTTATCCATATAAACCAACCCCATTTAACATACTACACACACCCCAAAACAGCTCATACAAAAGATTACATGGCACACACATTGAGCTTAACAATTATGATGAGGTTCATAAGGCAATATACAGCATAAGACCAAAAACCACTTCAACATCATCACAACAACATTAATTGATATAATAATAAAGTGCTCCTATGTATCCCACATACCTGTCATAACAGTGTTCTTGGTTCTCTGTATGAAGCTGCCATCTGCATAGTAGACCTCACTGAACGCACTCAAACAAATATTCAAGTATTTCAGAGTCTTACGCAGAGAGGGATAATACTGGAAGCAAGATGTTCCGAGTTATCAACAGACTCATTAAAGAGTTATGATGAATAATATTATCATTATGAATAATTTTATCATTATAACAAAAAATACACTAATAAGTAATCTAAACTTATCATTCATTTCATCTACAATTAATTTCCTTGCCCTTCATGGTATACTTGTTGCTATTACCTGTATTCTATCCCAAAGTTTTTTCAATAACTGATAACAAAAATTTAACATGCACAGTATTGTCCTATTTCTTTTTTCTTTTAAATAAACTTAAAACTCACACTTAGCTTTTACTACAACATTTGCACTCACATGGAATCCCAAACAACGTCCATAGAATGAGTACTGTGGCACTGTATTCAGCATACTCATTAACTCGTTGGGGGAACTGCTAACAGCCGAGAGAAGATTGCCATCTTCACATCTCGGCAAGAGCATTTCATCAATGTATTCAAAAAGGGTGACAAGTGATGCGAGGGTTTGGCCCCAAGCTTCAACTTCCCTGAAATTGAAATAAAAAAGTAGGAATAAGTATACACATCACATATCAACATCAACAAGTACATACCTGTCCATGTAATTGAATATACAAAGTATATATAAGGTAAAAAGTGGTTTATCTATCTGTAATAAAACAAGTACTTGCTTTCATCACTAGTATTACAGAACCATTTAAAGTGTTTAAATTTCAAACTTCTTTAAACAAGAATATCATCAGGTCCTGGATGTTTTTTTTTACCTTGGAAAAAAAAAAGGCAGATTGTAAAATTGTAAAAGCAAGACCAGATAATCATCAATCATTCATCACATATATTTAGTTTAACTGACTTCAATGGAAAAGCAGGAAAATCTGTAACATCATGTCAAGC